TATCCAACTTTTGGCACACCAAGTGGATTAACACCCCATCCGCAATTTGATTCTTAGTTCCCAAAGTTGCCAATACTCGTAGATGTGCGTTTAGCTTGTCACTCAGCCCACGCAAGCTTGCCACTGAACCGGCAACGATGTTATCCAGCTGAAAAATGGTTCTCACATGAGTCTGAAAATTTAGACGTTTATTATCAAAACGATTTTTTAGCAACTCAAGCGCCTTATCGTAATTTTGGTCACAAATTTCTAGGGACCGTATAGTGTCTAAAGCAGCATCACGCAGGCTGGAGCGAAGGTGCTGAAACTTCTCAATTCTGGTTAGGTCAGCATCCTGGTGGACCACTGTCTTGAACATAGAAAAGAAGTCGGGCCAATCTGCATAACTGCCGCTGAATTTGGGGATTTGCAGCGTAGGTAAGCGTTGCTTGGGAGGAGCAAAAACAAATGATGGCGGCCCATCAGCAGTTGGCCGCGTGGTTGAATGATGTGCCTCTACGTTACGAGAAGTATGCAACTGTCTGGTCAACTTAATCTTTGCCTCCATGTAATGTGTCGTAAATCTTGCGAGTATCTCTTCGACGTCGTCGTCGTCCTCCACATGAGGTTGTGCAATGTCGAATCTCCCTTCCAAGCGATTCACCTGGTCCAGCCTGACCTCCACAGCAGCTTCGTCAAGACTCAGTACGTATTCAGGTGTCAGCAAAGTATTGATGGACAGCATTTGTTGAGCTAGAGATTCACACTTCTTGCGCTTAAGCTCTCCGTCATCAGGCTTCTTAGATGGTGGCATTCTTNTCCCGAATTTTGACAATATTTGGGAACTGTGACCAAGGATTGGGAATTATAACCATGGGTTAGTAATTATAACTAAATAGATATATTAAAGCTTCTAATATTCATCTAGGTTGTACCAAATCGTTAATTTTGTCGAAGGGTTTGGTAAATACTAATAAATATTTTTTTGAAGCATATTTCTACAAATTCCACTCAACTTAACGTATGGTTCATAAAAGGATGTCATTAAGCTCTGCAAATACAGATAATCTTTCTTTCAACACATGGTTTAGTCATAGTTACCAAATCTTAGTTGAGGCAACCACGATTTGGTTTGAGCGCGGAACATATTCATGCTTGTGAGCCACCCCTAAATAATGCTGAGCCCTCACTGAGCACATGTGTGTTTCACATACGAAGAGCGCCNCCAGCTGAGCAATGCACACAGTCCCACTTATTGAATAGTTTGAATGTTCTAGTATGCCGACCATTGCATAAAAACGATTCAATGAATGAGACTGTGTGTGTGGAAATCATTGCTCCGCTACCGCTAGTCGTATATGGGTAAAACACTCACTCGTGTGTTCACAGAGCGCTCAGTAAGCTATGGCATGCCGATCACTGCGCTGGGTAGAGAAAGAAAAGTGTGTGCTATCACATGCCCAGGCTTGTTTGTCTCAATTTCAGTTTTGCCAACGCTGCGAGTTGTTTCGGTGTGCGCATAGTTATTTAAAAATGTAAAGTTTGATGCCAACCGGGGTTTCTCAGTGGATATATAATTCATGTGAATTATAATCTGAAAGTAACTATTTAGCCAAGAGCAAAGCAGTATACTTAAACCAGCACTTCTAGCAGATATTGACCTGGGTTTTCGCACGACTATTCCTGTTTCATCGTTTCTTTATAGGAAATCTTACCACCATATACATATGTATGTATTATTTACACTAGTAACTATTTATGTAAATATGTATGTATTTTCTTTGCTTAATATATTATGCAAATAAAAGAAGAAAGTAAACACAACAACCATCGAGTAAATTTTTATTTGTGTCAAACGGAAACTTTTTTCCAATAATAAACGGTTAGCTGATACTAGTCTACAGCAAGTTCACAAAATTAATTGAAAACTTGTATCAACCAAAGCATTGTTTATATTTGCTCAACAATGATTTTATCAACTAATAATACAGTCCACTCAAGGTAGTCGTTTTGTAATTATTAACAAATACACATTTGTCCTAACTAGAAGTCTCAAGTAAATTGCAGACTTTCGTGAACTCCATATTTATTTCACCATATCCAACTATGCCACTTGGTCACTATAGCCAAATCTTGGTAATTATGACTAAACCTTTTTCTGAGTGTATTCTTTGTACAAGTTTTTAAAGTTTAAAAAATTTTAACCAACTTCTCGATGATCTAGAGACTTGAAACTTCAAACTGAGTGAAGAACACGACGACAATGCAACAAGAGAGATAAATTAAAGTGCTAGATGGCGCAGGTGTAGAGTTATTTGAAAACCCGGTATATATGGTCCGATATGCTTCAAATTTGGTATTGTATATGTAATACTTACATAAATGGAAATAACTTCACAAAAAATGTTGCCCGATAGGTGGTTCATATTTAGAACGTATGTAGTTTTTTTTTCTTTTTAACCATTAATAAAAGCTTGTCTTAAAAAAAATTTTGTTTAATTACTTGTTTCAGCTTGCTTCTTCATTCGTACGATTGCTACTAAAGCTCAGAGTTAGCTATGCTTTTCGAGGAACTTTTATATTCATTTGACTAAAAAAAATAAGTGCAAGGTGCGCTATATGAAAACCCCCAATACTCATAACTCCTTGGCCCCCTTCCACAATTGACATCACCCTTACTAAGTTAGTAGCAGACATGCAAAATAAACAACTGTTTACCGAAAATTTCTACCCAAAAATTTGGTGACATTTGAGACTGCAATTTCATAAATTGCAATGTGAGTAGCCAAGCAAAACCAAAATTACTCACTTGCGAGCATGCGTTCATCATCGGCACACAGTGGGTGAGTCACTTAGTGGTTCAAAGACAAAAAAAAAAAAAAAAACAAAGACATCGTTATATTTTGTTTCAATTATGCGAATATTTGCTGCTGTGTTGCAAGGCAAGCAAACAAATATTTGTAAGGCACTACATGAAAGGGCAAAATAAACAGAGAAAATAGACAAAAGTGTACGGATGTGTAGATATGTAATATTTGTGTAGAACATACAAGTCATATGTGCAGTATTTCCTTTATTTGCTGTATTTGGCTTTGGTGCAAGTGGCATGCCCCTAAAATGCGCCAGCAGCGATGTGACAGCAGCCAGCAACCAACCTACAACGAAATATTTAATCTAATGAATGAATAAAAATTTCCGCCTCAACTATTTTTATTTGTAGCTGTTTAATGTGCTTCTGATTTTCAACATCTGTTTCCATTTTTCTACTTTCAGCTCGCTCTACTGCTACCCCCCTTCCACTCCTTACTCCTTATACTAACTATGCGGCCACATTAGCCTACGTTCGATAATAATGGCTATGTAGTGGAGTATAATTTCATACCTTTTTGTGTAATTGTGATGACTGCATTGGTTGTCGCTTTTATTGTTCATGTTGTAGTTGCTTTTGTTGTTGTTGTGTGTGTGTGTGTTGTTTGTCAGTGGTGGTATCACAGTACTCAGCATCGGTTGGAGGCCAAATTCCCTATGCCATAAGGAGAAGTTGATTCGCTTGCATGTTGAGAAAATTGGACATGTCTGCTGTTGCATTGTTTTTGTTGCTACAACATTTGTTGTTATTATTACTATTATTAATATGGTGTTGGTAATAGGATTGATAAGCAACACACAAGAACGCCTCGTCGCTCGCTGCAAGAAGAGGGTGAGTGCTTAGTTTCCGCTTTTGCTCTGTTCGCCACACGAATGGATGCTGCTCTTGGCTGCTTAATCATAAGTAGCTATGCTCATGTGTTTATTTGTGGCATGTGCTTTACGTGCAACACGCAATCAACAAGACGCACGACATGCAAAAGTGTCAGAAAAATAATTTCTCTCAAACCGAAAAAACTTTCAAAACTAAAAGAATTATGGACTTTCTCTTGCACGCGCAGGCGTGTGGGGAGATTAACATGCGAGACGTTGTTGCAAGTGGCAGGGGAAGTGAATGCGGTGTATGCAGTATAGCATGTAGCATGTGGCGTCGATTTATTGTTGCTGCAAACAGAGCACGTGTATAGCTCTGAACTTGCTAATATGCAGGCGCACACACACACACTCGCTCACCGTTTTCTCTGCCGACCACAAACTCGGCTCTCAAGTGACTGGCCTTGGATAATGCGTTGATTACGATGCTGACGACAAAGATGCAACCACAATGAAATTAGTGCTTTGGATCCACTTCATCAGCTTTGAATTATTTGCTAGCCAAGCGATCGATGATCCTCCCAATTCGTCGCGCTGCTGTCATCTAGAGGCAGCCACAAACGTCGCCGGCACATTTGGTAGTTCGTTCATTTTAAGCCGCGCAAGAGCTTTACTTGCTTGCATGCAATGTATGTACGGTGACGTAAATATGTAAGTTACAGTGTGGGGTGAAATTAAACTTTAAAAATTGTTTGAAAATTACGACCAAAATTGTCGTTGAAAAAATTTCCGTAGTGTGTATACATAGTTGTTGTTGCAACGTGTTCAATTTGAGTTACTTTCGCATTTCGTTTTACTTCGTATTTGAACTGCAGCTTTGTAATAAAGTTGAATGTGAAGATGAAAAACGAAATGATGAAGACAAAATGGAAGATAAAGTCCCAAATGAAAACACTAATAATATACATAAGAATTAGGGTACATGAAAGTGTAAGAAAATTCATTTAAAGTTTTCGATAACATCAAGATTCTTATCACCGAAGTTTATAGTTTTCGATATTTATCGGATAATCCATGTTTATTAAGTTATGGGAATGCATCGAAATATTGAAATAAATCAATGTTTATTAAGTTATCGAAATTTATCGAAACCTATAAACTTTATTTTCGAATTGTATCGAACGTTTTCGAGTTACAAAAATTTATCGGATTATCGAACTTAAGTTAATCAAAATTATTAGTTATTTAAGTTTGTTGAGTTAAAGAAATTTATCGAGTAGTCGCGTTGTATGAGTTATCGATATTTAATGGTTTATCGAATTTTTTTGTAGTTATCGAAATTTGTAATAAACCGACATTGAAGTTTTTGGAATTTTCAAATTATATCGGCTTATCGAAATTTATAAAATTACATGAAATTATAGAGTTATCATATCACTATTTATGGTTTTATCAAGTTTTATCGACTTTCGAGAGTGTCTTTGAGAAAGTTGTTGAAATTTGTCGATAGATATGGAAATTTATGAAGCTAGAAAAATCGAGTTATCGATATACATCGACTTAAGTAAGTTTTTTAGTTATCGCAATTTATCTAGTTCTGGAAACTTGTAGAGTTATTTAATCTTTTCCATTTATCGAATTTTTGTGCTTTTAAAATTCATTGAGCTATCAATACGTATCGAGTTGTCGAAATTTATGGACTTACTGAAATGTACCGAGTTATCTAAATTTATAAAGTTTTTTAAATTTGTCGAGTTTTTGAGACCTATCGAGATACATACTGTCCCGATTCCCGTGTCACCCTTATTGGAAACTGTGTTCAATCTTGGTCTGATTTTTTCCAGCCGCCCTTTGTCCGGCGATAATGTTGAAAGTGTACCTTTTCTAGTCAATTCCTCTACCACACAGTTCCGCGCAATGTCGCTGTGACCCGGAACCCAAATGAGCCTAATACAGAAGTATCTCGACGCAACTGAGAGAGAGGGTGAGCAGACATTCCCTCACCAACTTTGAACGTACGCCCAACGCACTTAAGACTCGGAGGCCTGAACTTAGTACTGATGAAAAGCTCTCAACAGAAGACTCCTTTACCAAACCGGGCGTCCAGTCTGGATCCATCCGTAAAGAAGTTCA